CGAAAGAGCTGGCAGATATCTGAAATCAGCTTAAAAAGGCTACAAAGGCATAAAATCTACCAAAGAACACTGCAATTTAAGAAAAAGAGAAGACAAAGGCGATCCAAATTTGAGCACATGTACTACCTTACTAGAAGTAGGTTCTACAGGCCAGTACACTGAAGAATACAAAAAGGGGCAGCTTGGCGTGGCAGGGTCTTCAGCATTGTAGCGTTTCAGAAACGCTGCCTTGACGTTGAAAATCCAAGTGAAATAAAAGCAAGGATGAGCCCCGTCACATTCATGGAAGAATGTCTGATGATGACCTGATTTGCCGGTCGAAACGGGAAAGCTCAAATGTTACAAAACAAATTTAAATAAAAAAAACAAAACAACAACATGTAAGCAGCGAGAAATAGAACATAAAAATTTACAACAATCACATTATCCCCATGGTCCCTAACAGCAGGCCAATTATCTGAAAAATGTATAGATTCAACGTTCGTTTTTGTTTCGGTGTTGGTATTAGTATACAAACTCCTTCAAATGAAGAAGTCACCTGTAATAACACTATGATGATTAATGCCAGGGGCGGATACAGAACATGGTTTCCTGAGGGGGGGGGGGGCTCACATTTGGGTGGAAGAATTTGACAAAAATAATGCAACAGGCGAAAATTGAAGATTGAGCCAGCATCTTGTTCATATGACAAAAATAGTAATTGGTGTGTTTTATAGCTCATATTATGGGTGGCAATGTACTTTGCTTATATATGAGTATACTAATGTTTTTGTAAATATTTCGATGATATGAAATTAAGAAAAACATATGCAATTGGGGTGGCCCTGGGAGGGGTGTCCCCTCCCATAGACTGAGAAAATTTTGAAATATGAGGTTGGGAATGGTGTTATTTCCTTGACTTTCTAGTGCTGTTTATTGTACCTTTCTAGCAATGTACTTTGCTTAAATATGAGTGTACTAATGTTTTTGTAAATATCTAGATGATATGGCATTAAGAAAAACATATGCAATTGGGGTGGGCCTAGGAGGGGTGTCCCCTCCCATAGGCTGAGAAAATTTTGAAATATGGGGTTAAAAATGGTGTTATTTCCTTGACTTTCTAGTGCTGTTTATGGTACCTTTTGGATGGTTTTATTTTGTACAGGTTAGTGGTTAATTGCAGGATCTTCCAAAAAGAATTCCTCTCGTGCCTAGTAGTGAGCTTTTACAAAATAACAGCACACTTACCAATGCGTGCGCAACTGTTGATAAAAATTTAAGCACTCAATCAATTTACTCATCTGAATAATAGACGTTTTTCCAAAGTAAAGTGATATTGAAATACTGCCTTCCTAATGTACAAAAAATAATTTCAAACTCTAGTATTCAATAAGAATTTTTCCATGAATGAATCCATTTTAGATACTAAAGAGGTCAGTAAAATTTAAATTTTATTTAATAAATACAACTGCCATAAAAAGTTATTAAAAGCGAATGACCAATTATTTCATCTTGATAAAAATCCTTGTTAAAATGCGATCTTTATAAATCTCGCCATCATTTTCATTTACAAATACGTAAATATGTGCTATAAAAGAATCACAGTTAAAGGCATTGCATTCACACAGTACCTCTGCTCTAGCATATACAGAAGTTATTAGTTCCTTGCGAAAGTGAAGGCAACTTGTAATGGTAAACTGATTGATAGCTTACCCAGAAACAATGTGACTTACTGTCGTAATCCGGGGTGAAATGACCACCACCACCATATAAGACATTGAATAATATACGTTTTCTTCATGCATTTTACATTAAAAACCAATTTTGCACACTAGGCTGCACAACACTAAGTTATGACTCATTGTTGATCCGGGGATTTTATAATCTAATTTTAAAGGAGAATTAAGAATTTGACACCATTTTGTTGACAATAACAAGTATTTTGAAATAGTATTTTTTTGTATTTTGCAATGAAATTTCAAAAAAAAAATATGAATGGCCATATTCAACTAAATATTTTTCACTGATAGAAAATGGTACTTCATTAAAAAACTATTTTGACTACTGATTTAAGGAAAGCGACAGATTTTGTGCAAAATGAACTTTAAAAAAAAATCCAATAATGTTTCAAAAAATACTATTTACATTACGTTTAAGTTTTTCATTGATTTATAGCTTTATTCGAAATAGTTTTTCATTAATGCGTATGCATCCTTCGTCAGTAAGGAAAATCAAGCAGACAAGCAAAAATGCCAAAAGAAAGACATAGTTAAAAATATAGTAATGATAATCTACCTCGAAATGCGCATGGTCATCACGTTGCAAAACAATTCATACTATACCCTGGTATCATCATTGTAATGTGTAAAAAAGGATAATGATATTTCATTATATTTCAATCATTAAGTCACTAGAAAAGTCTCTGGATTGACATGACATGAAAGAAGTTTACAATAATTTAGCGCAGGGAGTGCCAGACAAAATATTTTGTTGACATTTAAGTAAATATTGCCAGTTTATTTTCATGCAATGCTTTGATTTAAAATATCAGCGGTTGTAAAAGTGTAAAAGGAATAATATTGTATTGTGTAACTAGTTTGTTGATATTGATTTTCCACGTGTGTAATTAGATAAAATGTGTATCGAGTGTGCAAAAGGCGTTGCATTCCTAGTGTTTATTTATAGTATAGATGGGTACATTTGCCGTTATTTTTTAATTATTTGCTAATATTTTTCAATTATTGATAGAATGTCAATCTCCTGTGCTCTAATGTATGTTAGCATGTCCGTCTCGTCCGAAAAAAACGCTGCTAATCTCTTTGCAATTAATCAATTTCTGAAGCATTATTAGTTATATTCGACACAAAAAAATAAGTATGGTTAAGTATGAAATATTACAAAGATTCATTTATATTGCATTATTCAACAATAAGACCTATCAATCTATTACGTATTTAATTATTAGCTCATTTTACTTTTAGACCTTAGACAAAGATTAGGTGTGTAAAGTGACGAAGGAAAATAACTCAAAATTGAGTATGAAAATGACACAGATAACTTAGGGAACTATGGTTATTAGACATTGCACTTTGTCTCAATCTGGATTAAGTGTCAAGTTGATGCCTCCAATACTTTAAGTCATGCCCGGGAGAAGCAAACCCCGACGACCGGACGGAGTGTTGGATATACGGACGAAACACTGGTTTCATTATATGCCCTTTTTAAAAGCCGTTACTCTTCAGGGGTTTAAAACGCACAATAAAATAATAAGTAATAGCTATAAGTTATTAAACTAATGGGAATGAATGAAGTTATATATTTTGAAATACGAATAATGTTTACGACGCATATTTTAATAACAAACATTTTAAATCAAAATACTTTTCGATATCAAGGTCACAATCTATTGCTTAATATTTGAAAATGTAAAGAAATCTATAAAAAAATATCCCGTTTATGCTGCTGTATCATATTCTTGTCTATATGGAGTGTTTTAAAAGTTTTGCCGAGTTATTTCATTGGGTAGTTTGCTATAAACATTTAAAAAAGGATGGTCGTAGATTATGTTTCATATTCATACGTGATCAAAACAAGTCTTCATCTTTTTGTAAGCAATAACAAACTTTTTCATTGGCTGTTACCTAAAACAGAAAATTCCCCGTGTCATACTTGACAGACTTTGGGCAGCTATTTAAGCATGCGATCCGCCAGATGTCTTCAGAAAGCTCAGCAAAATCATCACAGCACACTTAGATATAGCCTTCTGAACGTTTCCTGATGAAACCAGTTTTAGGAATGGAACCTGGAAAGACTGATATTGTCACAGTTCATGTGCCTGAAAAGGTATTTAAGTTACTTGTATCAATCTTAAAGTAAACAATTCAATATTTTGCTGTTGTCAAATATATGATTTATTTTTTATGACATTGCCAATACATCTTGTCACAAATAAAAATATCTTAAAATGTTTGATAGATAGTAATTATTTTGTTATTTATTGGATCGATCACTAAAATTAGCTAATTTCCATTGTAATCTGTCCAACCGATCGCTAATTAGAAACAGATACATGTTGTCTTGATTGTTTTGTTTTAGGAACACTTTATCTGTATATCGAAACATTTTGAAGATATTAATTAAATAAACACAAGCATTGGATTAGAATGGAAGAATATGCAAATCGTAGTAACGTATATTTGCATTGATAAAATTTCGTTAACGATAAATTAATTTTGGATAAAATGGAGAAATCAAAGAAAGCAACTCTGTAGTCCCTTACATGAATCAGTGCTCTGATTTTCTGTTTCCACAGAAATAGAGCATAAATAATGTATCTTGCTATGAAATAATCGTTTAACTTATATAGATAAATGAATAATAATTCAAAATAATTAATTCAAAATAGTTACTAGACTTTTAAAAATTTATAGAAATTGGTGTATGTCTGCTATCTTGCGTTTTCTTAACACATAACCTTTAAGGATGCGAATATATTTAATACATTGATAAATCTTTATATTTTAAATAATTTTATATGAAATGTTTCAAGGTTCACACGGAATCAGCTAAGGGATGTTCAAATAAAAGAATAATAGTTGGAGCGGTAACTGGTGTTGTTGCCGTGGCAGCTGTTGCAGCTATTGTTCTTCTGTCTGTTCATTTTGGATCGAAAATTACAACAGATTCATTCAAGGTAAACCATTTTTAGTCTTTTTAACTTTCATTGATAAGGTTAAATTGCATATAAGTTTATTTTGTTTCGTTTCGTTGTTTGTATATATAAAATATGTATACATTATATGTAATCATTAAAATAAATGCATTCATTTCTTATTGAAAAAATTGACTTCGATTTTATAGAAAATAAATTTCTAATAACCTCCCTTTATTTACATGAAATGTTAAATTCGGAAATATCTTTGTAAATGATGCTTTTTTGGAACTTACAATATTGATTAATCTTATATGAAACCATAAAAAAATGTGTTACATGATCTTTAAACGTACAATCCTTTGACAAAATATGTTGTTTTTTTATTTCAATTCGTTGAAATTAAGTATATGTTAGTTTATTACTTACTAAACAAAATATTGTTTTTATTCATACCACAATGTTACCAAAGTAATTTTCGTTATGTTATTTTGAAATGCCGATTCATGATATACTGGACAATGGTCCCTAAAGTGATATCTTCAGCACTGGACTGACTGATCAAATCCTTATGCTTCTGATCAAATCTTATACTTTAATTCTATATTAAACAGGTTGTACATCAGACATATAAATCTGACAAAGGGGAAGTATTTGAAGAGGAGACAAATGTAACCAAAACAGAGGTTGACGTGCGGATTCCTAATGTGGCGGAGGTCATCTATGATTACAAACATGTAAGTTGACCATGTAGATGAACTGCATATGAACAAGAATTTAAATCTAAAAAAGGTCCTCTACTTGAAACACGTTTTATAAAAAATCCTATATAATTATTTTAGGAGATATTTTACTGAGTAAGTATAAACCATCCTTTGCATACTTACTTACATCTCACTGAAGATTAAATGGTCAATAGAATATAATGGTAAACAGTTATCTGAACACATAAAAAATAGCCTATCATGTATTTAATTGTTATCATGTAAACAATATTTATGAACACACGACGTATTATACCGTCGTATACAGGCTGAGACAAAATGTTGTTTATGTAATTATTTCAGGGCATAGTTGTTACACGATTTGTTGATAGAGAGAGTAATACACAAAGTGAATGTATTGCACAGCATTTGAATGAAACCGAAGCTCCAAGTCGAGACACTAACGATTATTCAAGTGGAGAGGTAAATTATTATTAAATACATCCACATATTTATTGCATAGTTCGAACAAAAACATTTTGAAAATTATTCGGCATATTCTTGTATGGATAAAGAATGCATAAGCGAAACATCTGTATTCTTAATTAAGTTCCAAATCGTATTTAATACAGCGTAATGACTTATATGATTTTAAAAGATATTATGACCTTGTTTAATTTCACAGGTTGACATCAACCAAAATGAGGAAAACGAGGCTGAGAAGCAAGAGTGGGTAAGGACAGATACTGAGGTGCCGCAATATCTGATTTCTGAAAAGGTTGAAAGAATGTGCAGGGGAACAAAAATCTATTGGATGAAAAGTAATTATTATAAATTCACTTATATATATGTATCCCATTTTTAATTCGATCGAATTAATATATCATATAGATATTCTTCGAGTCATTTAATGTAAATTAATAGTAAAATCATCAGAAACTTTTAAGGCAACTACATTCATCAACATGATACCTACGTTTAAATTGTTTACTCATTTTAAATTGCCACTGACAGAACAATTGCTTTTTCCATTGTAGAGGTACAAAGACATAGTGGCGGTGTGGAGAAACGACAAGCATGTACTTCCATTTTCCGATATGCTGTCTGCTGGCGCTATTCACATCCGTGCGCCTATTTTTGTTACGTGAGAGAATACTGCAAGACCACAGGCGCTTACATTGGGTATTATTATGCGAATGGGTGCTTAGTAGGATGTGACCCAGGACCCTCCAATCCAATATGTCCATTAAGGAACAAATAAAATCATCAGCACTTTCGTTTCTAAAATGTGTCTTTTCATAAAGATTAAATTACAACTATGGTGATGTGCAATTTCAGAACAAATTTCTCACCCACATTGACTCCTTAACACTATTTAATATACTCTATGAAACAGAATTAAAATGGAGTTTATTTAAATATTTTAGGAATTGTATAATATATTCAAGTATGTTTCAATGATTATTATTATGTATTTCTTTCAAAGAAATTTTATATTTTCTGATAATACACACGTTTTCATTTGTAAAATCACAAACTTTCACTAATGTGCATTTTAACTGTTGCTTCAATTATTTTGTGTAAATGTAATCATATACATGTATTTTTTAAGTATATCAAATGTCTTTTTGCAGTATATTTTGTTTTACTTTGAAAAACTTAATGATCTTTGGCTTGACATACAATTGAATCACTCTTTGTATGGAAGTCTTAATAATGTTTTGCAAAGTAACATAGCAAAAAATCTATTGAATAATTGAATGCATATGGCTCAAAATATCTGATGCGATCAGTTTCTTATTGCTTTATTTCTTAAATTACATGTAATACTTTCTTTGTTCTTTTAACTTGACATGTTCAATAAAGATTATAGTTAACGATTGGTGTCAGTATTTCCTCCTTGGACCCTATTCTGTGTCTAAATGAGCTATTAACTCAAGATTTTTTGTTAAACTCATTTAAATTTTGTTTTCCACTTGTATACTTATTATTGTCGTTATTCCATGACGGCGTCAAATACAACTTATCAATTTTGGTCATTTTTAGCCGTTCACCGCCCCAAAACCAAATGATTACACAATGGACGATAAAAATAATTATTTAATTCAGTATTCCCTTAACATAAATCTCTTAAACAAAATATAAAAATTATTTAACGGTGGCAAAACGGTAAATAATTTAAAATATAAATACAAACTTACTGAACCATGCTTTCTTATATCAAACACTTTAAATAAAATATCAATTTTAATAATCAAAGTGAACTTTCCTATCTTACTTAGTCGCCCTCTTGAATGCGGTTTGGTGCGCGATTCTAGGGAACGTGGCTGATAAGCATTGTTCCTTAAAATATAAATTTTCGTAATTTTTGGCCAATCACAGTTATTGATACTCCTACATATATAGACGCGGGTTTAGTTTCGATTTTCCCGAAAAAGCAAAGGATCTGGAGACTATTTTGATGAATAGTATATATAAAATAATTTCACATATATCGACAAACGGACGGAGCAGATTCCAGTATATGCTCCTTATGTCTTGACTCTGCAGGGGTTTAAACATCAGTGATACTTAAAAGTAATTGATACGACTAGTATTGACAATATGGTATGATACAACAAAGTAATGAGTAATAAACATTTTGAAATACGCCTAATGTTTTTTATAAGACCACAATTTAATGTCACTATCTATTGCTTGATGTTTTAAAATGTATAGAAAGTTGTAAAGAATATCCCAAACTTTATAACCGTGCAAATTAATGTCAGGTTTTGACAAACACGCACTAACTGTTGGTCTAAAGGCCCCTGTCGTCCTTCAGTATAAATTTACAGCTATCTGCTGGTCAAAGTTAGCAAATATGAAAGTATCTGTAAGAATGCATTTAAACGTATTGCACTCTGGACAGACAATTAGATGTAAAAATATGGAAATAAAGTGATCTCTCAGAAGCCTTAATCACAACAAAATTAGATGAAAATTGCAGACTCGGTTTGATTGAGTTTGTTTATGAAGGATAATGAATAAGTGCAACATCCCTCATGCCCCCTAGCACCGGCTAGAGCGGTAATCAGTTCTCAACACTTAATAGTGCTGGCATCAATGATCCCGAAGGATCATAAAAATATAGCAACACTGAAGTGAATTACGGGCAACTTTTTACAGCTTCCAAACGGCACACGCAAAATCCTTTTATTAATATAAGAAAAATACTTATCTTTACACAAACCCATTGCTATAATGTCTGTACAAATTGTTTTTTCTTTGAATAATTTCATTTGGCTAACATAATGATACTATGCCGTGTAGACGCGAAGTTATCATGACATTTAACAAAACTGCTCAGCCTGAAAACAAAACTTGACAAGGTGATATTGTCATTTGCTTATCGCCAAGATTATTATGTGTGGCCCCGATTCATATTGCGTGAACGTCTGTACAACAATAATAGATAATCAACTAGAACGAAAAGCCATATGGGGTTCACGCGGATGTTTCTTCATATGACAAGGTTACATCTTAATTGCCATGAAGCATACTTTGATCAGTTAAGGGGAATATGCTGTAACCTTTTCATCACAAGCGAATTGCAAAGATTGCTCAAAATTCTTTGATCACTGCAACACTTGTGGAAAGCTCATACATTATTGACTTATTTTAATTTAGCTTCAGTCAACTTTAAAATAAAATAAGAAATTAATATTGAACGCCTAGTGATAACACAATTCCAAATTTAATGACATTAATGTAAAAAACACCCATACAGTATATTCGTAGCAGGAATGCCACAAGATACCGAATTTTAATCAATATATCAATCATGCATTTTGGTTGCAGACTTATTCTAATGATTTTTTTTTGTTAAATATAAAATAATCAAAAGATTCAAAGACGATCATATTTATTAGTTACAGTAATTTCTTTGGTAATTCTATGCAATTGTGTTTAACAGAAATGTTGATAAAGTGATTGTATGAACAATTTTATGATAAATAATAAAAATAAAACATTCTGTCCTAGAACAATTAAGTATCTGCTAATAAATATATGAGCCCGCCATGACAAAACCAACATAATGGGTTTGCGACCAGCATGGATCCAGACCAGCCTGCGCATCCGCGCAGTCTGATCAGGATCCATGCTGTTCGCTTACCAACTCTATTACAAGTAGAGCAACTGATAAGCGAACAGCATGGGTCCTGATCAGACTGCTCGGATGAGCAGGCTGGTCTTGATCCATGCTGGTCGCAAACGCACTATGTTGGTTTTGTCGTGACGCGGCTCATATGTAATATCGGATTATATATCTCACACATGCCAACAACATCCATGCATATTTTTAGTGAACTGTTGTTATGTTCGATACTTAATACTATTAACGTTAGTATACAGTTATTTCATATGTAATTTGGGAACAGTCAAACTGTTGGCCCGAGGTGGAGAGGGTAGTGTTTTGAACTGTTGCCCAAGGTCGTAGGCCGAGGGGAACAGTTCAAAACACCATCCCCGACACCGAGGGACAACTGTTTGACTGTTCCCAAATCTCATATGAAATAATTGTTTTATTACCTGATCAATTAGTGTTTTATAACAGTACTTGCAGAAGAAAAAAGGAACACGAAAATAGTTTAGCACATATGTTCATAATTAAACTTAATACTTAAACTATGTCACGTCACGTCTGGTTCGTGATCAAAATCGATGGACGCTTCAAGTGGGAATCCTCTATGACGTCAATGAGGTCAGAACACGCGAGGGAAACAGTCGAAACTATTGACCGGTCAACAGTTCGCGAACGTTGACGTTTTCAGAATTTCAGAAAACAGTAAAAAATACCAAATTACATTTAAATAAGGTATCAGGTAATAATATTTATTGTTCAATATTACAAATGTTCTATTATAGACCAATACACTTTACTGTAATGTCTATTTTAGCTTAATGACATACCCGGTACTTGTGCATCATATTACTTTTGTTGCTGATTGCCTAGGGATCATTCCTGTGAAGTTTGTTAAAAATCCGCCATGTGATTTAAGATAACGCACGACACACGGTGAATAACAGACATACAGAAAAACAATATCTTTTGAAATTTTGAAATGCCAAAAATATATTTGTGAATCATATCATGATCATCTAAACAGGAAGAAAACTGAAAGCAAATTAAAAAAAAATAACAAGTGACTATACCTCTTAAGTACGTAACTCATCTGATGTTCAGCTTTTAAGATAAATAAGATAAAATACAATTTATTTCATATACACCACCTTATTTTTTTTAGTGATTATTGCAACTTTAATTAAAGATTAAATGATGGTGGACTTAAATGGTTCCAATCTCGTTCAATCTCATCATCAAAACTGGAGACAAATTTACGAGCCAATCAAATTGAAGTGTCAAGTTTTCCGAATTATATTTTCACGTACTTTCCGCGTACTTTTTGCACTTATGCATTGGGACACTAAAATTGCGAAAGCTCTTAATTAAAAGTAATATACAAATTAACAAAACTAAAAAAAAACTTTTTTCTTTATTTTCAAAACATTTTCCATTTTAACATAATACAAAAAACTTTTTAATTTTACATTGAATTCATTGGTGCAACAGCGAATTTATCAGAAAAGGGCATATTTACGAGTCTCAATCTTAATATATTTTAGTAAAATATAACAGACAGAATGGGCAAGGTGATGTAAATTAATGTGCTATAAATGTGTTTGTCTAGCTGGATAAAATAGAATTAAAGAGACCGGAAGTCCTAAGAGTTTTAATAGATGTGAAGCACGTGAAACGGTGAAAAAACAAGACGTAGAAATGATATCGAATCGATTCGTCTCTTGGTTTTGGGTCAACTCGTCCCGTGGTCAACCCGTACCCTATTTTCTATTATATTTATTCTCATATTTGATAAATTATCAGAGCATATAAAGAAATTTAATAAAAGTGGAACACACAATCAACACAGGATGAGTTTTAAGGGTATATATAATGGTGATAATCGACGTTTCGACTCTCACGAGTCTTCATACTGGTTATCATATATTAGAGATTTTAGATAAAATTAGAGAAAATATAAGAGAGATCTTTAAAAAAAACTTGCGAGAGAATTTTTGAAATTGTCTCTTGGGTACATTGCTATATACCTATATCATATGCAATATGGTTAAGTTGAGGGTTATCTTTACGCAATGATAATTATATGTATTATCTGGCAACTTGGTTATTGTGAAGTTTTGTATTGTGCCTTAAAAGTGTTTAGAAACGTAAAAAGTTAGATAAAGATAACGCATGTCTTTAAATTGACATTCAACAATACACGTGATAATCGTGTCAAAAGTTATATTATAAAATGCATATTATCAAACTTCCGAACTTTTGTTTTCTATAGTGTATTGTCACATATATTGTCTATAAAAATAAAATCACGGACTGTAATAACAGTTATTGAAGTCCGTGATAAAATATAATATATATTAGGGACGAGTTGACTCGGACGAGTTGACCAAAAAGATGACGAGTTGACCACGGGACGAGTTGACATGATATACAACCTTTTCTAACCAATTACCAGGATAGTGGAGCGGAAAATGTTACTTTTATAGTGATTACAAGGTTTTTCCATATGTGGATGACCCATATTCGAACTTTAGCTAGAAATACTAAAAACAACCTTTCTATCGAATTTTTAGGATACATGTGTATTTGGGCTGAAAATGTTTCCTTTAGAGTGCTTATAATAAGTTATCTATCTAGAAATCAATTAATAATAATAATAATAATAATAATAATAATAATAATAATAATAAAGACTTTTTATTTAAAGAGGCAACATAGTTGGGCATGCCCAATCTTCCCTATGAGCCTCCATCAAAT